ATAAAATTATATATATCGTCTTTCTAAATCATTCCCAAACTATGTAATCTAAAGCGTTACCAAACATTCTTATAACTTTATATAACATAGTTCTTTGCGGGTTGTAATCTAAAGTGTTACCAAACATTCTTATAACTTTATATAACAATTCAACTTTATATATGCAATTATTATATTCATTACGTCATCAAGTCGTACCCGCGTTTACTCTCTGAACTGTAAAGTACTGCGCTTTTTATACAACTAAATGCCCAATGAAGCAGTTCTCATGTACATATTTTTTGTTTCTGAAATAGTACTTCAATGTAACTTACTATAAAGTCACTTCAACTTAACTGCAAAAATCTTGAATTGCTGTTATACGCAGTGAATTATATTACTTTATTTATATCATGCAGCACAAATGTCCATCTGTGTAACAAAATATGTGCATACTTACAGACAAACTACATTCATGTTCATATGCCCAGTTAACAGTGACAGGTTTTTTGAAACGCTGTTTTGTACTCATTCATTTACAAGTCTTTTGCGGTTCGGTCAGTTGAACGTGCTGCTAACTCGGCCAGTTGGGAAAAACCTCGCGCTCGCGGGGCAAAACCGGTGACATTATTCTACTGAATGAAAGCTAAAAGGTTGATTCAAAATGTCGCTAGTTGCTATGCGCTTTGTCTTACAAAAAAGTCAGTAAAAACTGCAACACTGATTCGTGTGCCCCTGTGTGTGTGCCACGGAGGTCTGAGTGATACGAATGCACTTGAAATACTAAAAGTGGAGGCGGGTCCGGATCGAATTCCCGGAGTCCGGACTTTGAGAGGGGCTTGTATAAACTGTCTTCTGTGGTCAGTTTGTCTTTCAAGTCATCTACTGGTATGGCGGTGCAACAGTTTGAAGGAATTTTGCCCAGCAAGTGGGTTAAAGTTAGTTCTTCCAATATTTTCTCTTAAAGCTCTTAAATTCTTATTGGACAACAGTGTTCGTGGATAAAAAGCTAACATTTTGGTCACATTACATAACGCCACCTTCATGCATTTTTCTTCTGACGCACCATCCATTTTGAAATGAATGTATTTGCAGTGTTCTTTGACACAGCATAAACTCTAGTATGTACCCACCCACATATTCACCCTCTGACCCCATAAATTAAGCACTGGGCATTAGGTATGAGCAAAGCACTTTGTCTTTCTATAAGTTCCCTTAAGTGCAGCGGTACCTTAAAGGGTTGTGAAAGTATGAGCAGATTCCATCTGAAATCCTCTGAAATCCCAAATGGCCTCTCTCTGGTGCTGTGTGGAGGTGATAATCAGGGAAAGCATTAACTGATTGTGGAGGAATGTCTTTAGATCTGGACAGTATACCCACTCCTGACAGTTCTCACACTCCACGAGACATGGTTCAGGACAGTTTCACCTCCAACTCCAAGCGTGACCCTACACACACACAGAGAGTGACTCTCCTGTGCCAATGTGTGTGTGTTTAAACAGTTCACCATGGTCAATCACTGCGCACACTCAGCAACAGCTGCAGGCTGTCACACACTTGCTGCGTCTTTGGCCTCCCTGTTACTTTTTACTGTGTGTGTGTTGGAAGCAGGTGGAGTATTTTTGACACAGCCGTGTGTGAGGACTCCCACTTGGATGGTGGTCTAACATCTTCTCGGGACCCACTATGAGTTGTGTTTATTTAGTGCCTTGTAAATATGTGTGTGTGTGTGTGTGTGTGTGTGTTCCACCAACAGCAACTCAGGCTGGACATAAGAGTTCTTCAAACTAGTAGGTGCTCAATCACGACAAAATTGAAAGCAAAAACTGCATAACCCATAGTATACTATATAGGGGACAATTTACACTTCATTCTAAACTAGTTTTTTAGGCGTTTACAGGTCCAAAACTCTCTCACATGATGCTGTGGTCTGTTGTGTGGTTGCCAAGTACAGATGCTTTGAAAGTTCTCCCCCCCCCCCCCTCCCCCCCTACTAGTGTACTACAAACACTAATAATTTAATACACGGTTTGTTCAAATGCTTGTTCAAAAACCAATAACAGTCCAATGTAAAATTTTAAATAGCTTTATAAACAACTGTGTTTTAAACTTTTCTGTCTTGTCATATCTTTAGAAGATTCCAACAATACACTAGTCTGAGATTCCTTCATCAATTAAAGTAATTACAGAAAACTGCATTACCCTCTTCGCAGTAAATTAAAACTTCTCCATTGAAATTCGAGACCTCCTCATTGTTTCCGTCCCCAACAACTGCTCACTTTATACGAGTACAAGGACATTCTACACAGAAAACGATCTTTAAAGCAGTATTATGAAACTCAAGTTAGAATCTCTTACAATCAGGAAGACTTCTGGCACATTACAATGGCATATTTAGTTTCTGATGTTCTGGGCTTGGAAGAGTCGAAAATCACAGGACAGAAATTAAGACGACTGTGTCTTTTGTTACCCATGTGCATTAGTTCTTTTGAAGCTTTACACAAATACTATGGCCTCCAGTTAGCAGATTGTCTTTCTGGGACTGTCACATGGAGAGGGCAACACGAGATCAACTCTAGTCATAATCTTCTAGCGGAAGAGTAAGCAACGCATGCAAAAACATGCTAGTAAGTGCCTTTAGACTTAATTATGCAATGTTGTGATAACACACTGTTGCCCTTGGGTGTGGAAGCATTTGAAAACAATCTCCAGTTGACTGAAATGCAATGCAAGTCAAACACGGAGATTCTGTGAATAAAATAATCTGTCTTCCTTAGGTCAGATGCAAGTGGATAGTAAGAAAACCATCGTGGGAACAAACAACATCCATAAATTGTCCTGGTTTTCCAGAATAAGAGTGTATAATAATCTTCAGGAACAACACTGTTCCTATAACTAAAAGTGAAACAGACTTAATGTCTTACCTTGTTGTAGTAGTGAAGCTGAACCGAATGCCACTGGCCATCGCTAACTCCACCTGGTACAAAAGGTGCGACAGTTGTTTTGGCCTCACCTGGGAGAGAAAGTATATATATAAAAAATATATATAATGATATATATATATATTTAAATGACAGGAGAAAGGCATGTGCATTGTATATGTAAGCTACTTTAAATTATGAGTAGGTAAAATACAGTTTCAGAAGTCATAAACACATTCAAGCTAGGCTTTTAAAAAAATTACTTAGCTATTCAAACTACTAACAAAAAGCCGCAAACTACACGTAAGCTACAGTATTTATATAGGAAACTTGAACAAATAAAGTTACACTCATTACAACTAACAAAAGTGCTAATATAAATATAAAAATATGGGTTATGTTGAAAACAGCAACAAAAGAGCAATTAAATATTTTGCCAAAACAATTAGGATCTCAAATTAATCTGTAAATCTTTTTTCAATCAAATTTGCTGTCTGAACAAATTCACTAAACTACATTTAGTTTGTTTCTAGTTTGCAGTGGCATGTTAATTATGTGTAAGTTGGAAAAGTTGGTAAAGACCTGCAAATGTTCATCATGTTACAATTATGAGTATAACATAAAAACAGATATAGCTCAAAGAGTGTGTTTTGGTATGCGATGAGGGTGTTTCTTGTATAAATTGTGGCTTTGTAACCTCTGGTCCAATATAAAGTCACTTAGTGGCTACAGCACAAAACTTCTAACATAACAACTATTAATCATGTTTAGATATTCTCTCTCATCAATGGAGTTCATTCAAAGGGCAGGGGAGCAACAATGTACATTGGGTTTAGAGGAATATTTACCCAGGGAAGGAGCCCCTACTGGTATTCATAAAGAATCAGTAAAGAACAACCAAACATTGTGGCCTTGTTGGTAAACAATTGCAAAAATGTTCTAAGCTATATAGTTATTAAGATGTTTTTTTTAAACCTGATACCTTTGTTAATGAAATTGTACACCTTTGCACCCTTTGATCACTGAAAAACTAGGAATAGTGGGCCAGCCCCTTGAAATGGTCAAAAGAACAGTTTTAGTGCAAGTGTCATTGGGTACAGCATGTAAAACAGGCTCCACAGCATGACACAGCATTGTTCTCTTTGGCTGGGAAAGATTTATGTGTGCTATAAGATCAACAGTCCCATTATAAGGCAGTGCTCATCTTGTGTTATTTATAACCGCCTCTGAGCTTAAGTGTGTGTGTGTTTGTGTGTGTGTCTTCCCCTGCACATGCATGGAGATGTTGAAAAGACCATCTGGGTCACTGCATAGCCTCATTAAAGTTTGGATACTTTACAACATATAAATCATTTGTCGTAAACATATTCACCTAGATCAATTCTCTCTCTAAGTGACACATGGCTACACAAACAAGCTGTTTACCGTAGCATGATGTCATCTCATGTTACCGTATATTGTCAACACTACTGTCTGCTGTCCCAGGAGTGAATCTGACATTCAGACTGAAACGAACTCTATATGAATGCACAAGCGCATATGTGACCGCTTGACTAACATATTGGTGCACGGTCCTTTTGTACATGCTTAAGGTGTGTTAGTATTGTTGTAACAAACTTCAGTACTCGAGGGGACGATAGAGTTACCTTCAAATGTGAATTTAACTGACGGTTATTATTCACGTAGCTAGCTGTAAAAATGTTGACAATTTAGCTAACTTTATCTAACACGCTCTGCAAAACTCTCCTCAAATTGTTGCTCTTGCCATAACAGTAGTTGAACTGAAAGAAAAAACTGGCCACAGAATACATTATTGTTTGTTGTTTACATTAATGCTATAGCATTAGAATGCTGAGAAAGTGTGGTCTGACACGCAATCTGAAATCGAGCTTGCATAGCTAAAATAATTTGTGTTCACATACTTGACTAAAGTATCCTTTGGTAAGGGATGAATAAAATATCGGCGCCATATCGGTTAATGGCAAATATTAGATATTTATTGGTAATTATTGAATATTTATTTGTGCATGCTCATTTCCCATATTGTTACATACAGATTATTAGTTTATCTGCCATAGGATAAAAATATTCAATGGCTCATCATATCGATGACCTGGTCTTCTCAATTGTAACAGTGGTAGGACTTGTACCTGCTGAGAAGGTGAGTTGAATCTGTTCAATCTCGGTCTCGCAGTAGTCGCCGGTAAAACCTGCCGGACAACGGCAGCGCAGGCCGTTAATCGGATGGATTGGTCTGAAGAGAACTGTATCTGAGGCTGTGAAAGGTGGAGAACTATCGAACTTTAACACAGAGACGCATTTCATGTAGTTCTCGCAAGGTTCCCGCAGGCAGATGTTGTCATCAAATGGAAGGACACTTTGGCTGGAGATTTTCTGTAACAGAGTTCGGTTCAGGTAGATTTGCTCCTGAAGTTCTTCCGAAGGGAAGTAGCGATCCGGAGCTCCTCCAGGAAGCAAGGCGGAGAAGGTGACATTGAGGATGTTGCCGCTGACATCTGTGTCATTCTGGACGTTGAAGATGAAAACTCCTTCTCGACTAGTTGAGAGAACGGCTGCCACACCTTCGGCGAATAGAGAGAGCAGCGGGGATAGGAAGCGTTCCTGGGACATGTTCTCCAGACGGACAGTGATGCTGTTCGTTAGCATCTCGTCAGTGATGATGGTTACATGGAGAGTACAGAAGGCCGTCACTTGGTGGATACCATCTAAAAATGATAAAAACAACTGCCTGTTAATAATTCAGTTTTACATTCCATGAAAACACAACCTGCCTCTAGTCTTAGAATGCTGGAATTTTGGAATGTTTCAGCTGGAAGTCAGTTGCTTCTGGAAGATAACAGTATTATCTTTTCACACTAAGAAAGTCTAAATACTGTTTTGGGTTGGAGAAGAAAGCATGTTAACAGACAGGATTACTATAACGTTGCACCACAATTAGACAGATCATCTTGGTATCTTGCTTCAGGACACAAACTCATCTTCTCTGTTGGAACTAATGCCATAAAAATGATGATGGAGACTTGACAACCGTAAAATACTGTAAATGCTTTCTTCCTCAAAATTACAAAAAGGATTGGAATACTTATTATGGGATTGTACATGACCTTAACTACAGTTTTATACTCAATGACAAAATTTAGCAATTATACGCTTTCAGGATATGACAGTTGCTTCCACTTGAGCGGCTTCCACTTTGCTGATTTAATGCATACTATATGTCACTGAGGTCAGTGGGCAGTTAAATTGCTTAGCAACAGACAACAACCCTTCATTCGACCTTTCTACCTTTCAATACCTTCAGCACAAGTGTTAAAAAAAAAGGAAAAGTATTTTCTTATTTTACTTGTGACATTACACTGTACAACTGACAAACTTCCAACCCCTTAAAGAAATAGTAGCCTATTTAACCTCATGTTGTTTCAAACCTGTATGATTTCCTTCTGTAAAATATAAAAAGATATTTTAAAGAATGTTCCAACTGTTCTTTTCTTCATAAAGTGTAGACATATAACACACAGAATATTGAACTAATAAAATTGTATTACATTACAAAGTTATGCCTGGTGTACTGCCTGTGATAATATAGTATAGATAATATAGTCAAGGTCTGATTAAAGGTCTTAAGTTGCACAGCCATACATCTGATCTGAATCTCACTATTTTAATGTGGAGAGGATGGATTTGACAGGAAGCTCCCACAAGAAACGTACTGACTGTTCTGTTTTGCTAAGGATACAACTGCAGAACAGCTGGTACATCCAATGAATACCCCCGGCAAAACAACGTGGCTAAGGCCTTTCAAATATGGAGGTGTCCTGTGTCTTTGGGTTGAGTTATGTGTCTCTAAATTATATCACAGCCATAAATCACAAGAGAAGGGGGTGACAGTCACCATTCCCAGTAAATGAGTCACATTCCCAACTCTATCTGATATGTAGTGCACTACATTTGGTCCACTGAAATTGATGACATAAGCACATTGCATTGACTATAAATTATAGGCTGAACCTGATACAGTTTGTTCACCGATTGCATGCTGTTTCTAATTATATCAGATTTGTTGTTATTCTCGTTTGGCTTTTGTGTTTAAAATGAGCAATGTATGCAAGAGCTTGGTTGTGACAACCTCATTCATTACATATGAATGTTAGAGCAGAAAAAGTATGGGATGAAATTAGACTCAAAATGATTAATAGATGCATGCACAATTATCCATGTACTGCATAAATTTTATACATGTATCTTACTAACCACAAACTAATGCTTTTCAATTTGATTCTGTGGAATTCAGGATTAAATGATTGTGCAGCGATTTGTACAAATGCAGACATGTTTGCGAATAAAAATGTTCTGTTCTGCATTAATATATCATAAATTGCTCATGCAAAAAGGAATCCATGCATATGTGGATCAGGTGACACACGTGCATTAATTGACGTCTAGTTCGAGGCGATCTTGTTCGGTTCATTTGGATTTTGAGACTTCATTTTCGCAGTTTACAACATTTCACGTCCCACACACACACAACTACCAACGAACAAGGCCCAGTGCAATTCATTAACGTGTACACGATTTGAAAAATGTGCAAATGTGCGTCACTACACTGAAACAAATGCTTTTCAACCGGTGTCTGCAGAGTTAAGAATTACATTAATGTGCAGCATTTT